GAAAAAGTTTTTCTTGTACTAACCGACTGATGTAGATTCTCTTTGATGTCTCGTGATATGATGCAAAATGGAAATGAAGATACGATTTTGCCCTCTGATGAATTCTTATCTCATTGGTAGACTGACGCGTGGTTTATTTTGTGTGAACAATTGATTGGTTATTTTCAAGAATGTTCTTCAGTTTTTACGTTCTATTGGAGAAAACTTGAATTTCCACGAGGGCAGAAGTCCTTTTTAGTAATTTTTGCACGTGACCCCTCTGCACCAGCCGGTCCATAAAACTTGGAATCAATTGTTGCGATTCAAGCTGCACTCAACAACTTTTGGTGAAGTTTGAATAATTAACTGACTGCGAAGGATTTATAGCAAATATATCTTGCCTCAATACAAGCTTAGGATTTTTAAAGAAATAACAAGGACTCAGAAAATGGAGAAAAGTATAACTGTCACTGTAAAAACTGCGATAAAAATACGCTAACTCCCCGATGGGGGGTAATATTTTTTAAGGAGAATTTCACTATTCACGGTGATTGATGTGGTCGTCAAAACAGTAAAGTACGACTATATACAATATACCTGAAAAATCCATATTTTTTCGCTGCAAAATCCCAAAAATCAGAAGAAGAGTGTCGAGCGCCGGAGCATCGAATCATTTAATTTGAAATGAAGAATGGATTATTTGTTGATACAGGAACTGATGTGTATGTCGATTATCTATTAAATTTCAAACGCTTTATAAAATCCTCCCAGTTGATTAAATCCTCCATTGTCCTTATTGATTTGAGTCAACAAGACTTTTAAGATAAACGATTTTGCGGCGTAGCTCCTTCAACAAGCTTACTGAATATTTACGACTTATTAGAGAAAGCTCGATATTCCACCAGGGCATACATCAGTCCATGCTAGTAATTTTTACTGGTGACCCCTCTGCAGTAGCCGGTCCATAACACATGGGATCAATTGTTACGACTCCAGTGTCACTCAACGACCTCAACAACCGTTCCGGTAAAGTTTAAATAATTAACAGACTGCGAAGGATTCATAGCAAATAGATTTTGCTTAAATACAAGCCAAGGATTTTTAATTCATTCAAACTTTCAAAGTGTTTTAAAGAGAAAACTTGGACAGTCAGTGTTAAAACTGCAACAAAAATACATCAAAATCTACACTCTCTCAACGGTGTGTGTTTGTCCATTTACTGGTGGCATCACAGGCAGACAACACCATGTGTTCGTGGTTAATTATTGTTGACATGAAACGAACAACATGTATATTCATTTCTCACAATGAACACAAGTGTCCCCTCGACACGCGCAGTAAGGGCCCAATCTGTAACTGCAGTCATCGTCCCTGTGGCAACTCTCCTTAGCCAGTGAACACTCTAATTCTAGCCGTTTGTCGTTGGAGTTTTTGGTGTAGTCGAACTTCTGAGGGGCCAGTCCTTTACTCTCTTTGAAAGAACAACCATAATTATTCAGATAGCCAAGGTAGTAGTACTGAAGGTTTAAGGCTCTGAGGTAATTATCTGACCCTGACGTGAAACGGCTCCCACGCCGCTCTGAGAGTGTGTTTAAAAGACAAGTGTGACTCACTTCTCTCATTTAGAAGTTGTTGTATCAATTCCTTCGAGATGTCTTGCAACAGCTTGCCACGAGTCTTGCTCTTTCACTCTCGGGCGATCCGCTTATTAGTGGTGCTCATATGACTTGCCTTTGACGCTTCGGTCTCGATGACATGTACACATTTGTACACACGACTTGCAAAGGAAAGACAAACTTTGACCTGAAGATCTCTTTTACTGAAGGACCTAGAACGACATCTGTTTTAATTCTAGATCCACGCGTAACAGAACTGTCGACGTGAGTGTCGTACTTGTCAAAGAAATCCTGGAACGTGGACCAAAATGCGTTGGTGCTTTCGTAGTGATCATAATAACTTGTTGAGATATTGACTTTCTCCTTTTTGAAACATTCTTCAGGAAAAGGCTCAAAAATAATTTCTACTCCTTAAGCCACTAGTTCCATTCAGAATATACTGGCCTAAAACGGAGTGTTCGGTGATTAACTTTGGTAAATGATCATCATAATCAGTTTCCTGTGAAACAAGTGTTTAACTGATCGTTTTATTTCTAATCAAAGTCTTCCATTTGCTGACGTGCAAACCTGCTGCAGGAGTTTCGCACTCGCCGGAGTCCTCCCAAAAGCCATATGGTTGCTAATAACCGAGATTTGAGCCAGTATGTTCTTGAAAACCCAAAACATGTTTTTTTTTTGCTGAAAATGTGGTTTTTGATGTAAAGTAAAGTAAAAGCCTCGACAAAACCTCTTCCGCAACCACAAATGTGAGCTGATATTTGCTTCACTCTATATTTTCCAAACGAAAATCCTTGAGTATAGCTGCCGTTAATCGATTTGACAATTTTCCTTCCATTTGATCGTAAACGATACTTGGAAGCAATAAACAACTGCACTCGAAGGTTTACCCGCCAGAATTTGTTTGATGCAAACCGGCATACTCTGGTGAAGCGGTGTGGCTGTTTTTTTCATTAACGAAAAAAAGTTGCTTCACCAAAATGCTCTCTGCTGACGTAAATACGAGTTAATATTTGCCACACTCTATATCCTCCAAATGACAATCCAGTGTAGAAATTGCTTCGTTTTGTTCCGATTCTACTGCGCGAGACATGTTAAATTCCGTGCTTCCTCGAGAGCAGAATCAAAACTAATAACTTTACAATGAGAGTTCGCCATCTTTCTCGTTGTCCAGTGTGAGAGAAATGTTACAACGACGCTCAAATGACGCATTTTGACTGACAGCTGGAGCTTAACCGCACCAATGAGGAACTCCGTTTGTGGGCAAAAATAATTTTTTTCAAAATAAGAATGACTTCGGGCAGGCGTAATCTTCACTTCCCCACCCCTACCCTTCTCATTTTTTACCGACGACCGCCCCCTTGGTACAAATTTCTTTCTCTCCCCAGCCTTCCGCTGCCATTAAAATCAAAGATGATGGCTATAATTTTCGTTATGGGAATACTCAGCACTTGCTCGCCAAAATTACGCTTGCTTTGCAGGCTAAATTTATTTAGAACACACGAAAAAAGCAGAAAGAGAGAACTGCCAGTAAAAGAATGAATCTAAGAATCAAAGGCCACGCAAATTCAAAATAGATGAGATGAATGCTCTAATAGTAAATTGACTAAACGTTATAACTTTACTTCCCATACGTCAGTTGTCCTAATGGTAACCATGCAAGTAAATTAGTGTTCAATCTCGGCGAAGTTTCATTTGCCAATTGCCAATTGTCAATGGTAGGCCGGAGTGTCCGTGATGGTAGATGCACTATTTAATTGGAGGTAAGCATCTACGTTTGCTTTGAACACTGTGGAGCTTTCAATCTATGCAATTGTTAGACCCGTATAGCGCGTGCACGTTGAAATAAGCCAGGAATTGTATTTTGGACAATTAACACTTAGTTTAGACTTGATCTATTTTTCAGTGGGAAAGGAAACCGGAGGACCATTTGGGAGAGTGGCACACATTTCAATGTACTTGGAGGGACGTCGGTAAAGAGGAGGAAACTAAATCCGCCAAATTAATTGAACGGTGGGTGAACTTAATAAAGAGGACACTAACCTTGTCAAATTAAGAGACATCACGCGGACTCAAACTTCACGGGTTGTCAACCTGCTAGCAGACACCGAATCGAGAGCCAATGAAAAGGCATCCATGTGTGCGATTAAAGAATAAGACTTCAACTAATGGTAAGCTACTCCTTAAATTTATCATGGTTCATCCTTGGCAACAATCATGATCGATAACATCGAACGTATTTTTACTCTAAGAAAACTACTGCAAACCAATCCGCAACTGTTTTTTCACCATCACTGGTCTTTCGCTTTAGCTTATTTGATCAATAAAAACACATTATTACTGCGTTTTTTGTACTATAAACGAGCTATCCCTACAGCCCTGCCCATTGCTCGTGCTTTATTTGGCTTCAATGTTTGACCCCGTCTTGCCATTTGAACAGGACCGAAAATGTTCTATAATCCATGACCATTACCTTAGCTTTACCCAGATGAGGTAAAAAGCTGCTCCGCCACAGTAGCATCACTTGTAAAGCTAATTTCTTATTTCAGATGATATTGACAAAGCGTGTCTATAATTCTAATTTAACTTAACACCGGGGTCGCTAAACGAGACAGTTTTTCAATTCATTTTTCTTCAGATACTGAAGTAAACACAGAAATTAGGCTAGCAACAGTTCTATCTTTTGATAATTATTTTTAATATATTCTTTCCCCTTTCCCCTCAACAAAAATAAGTTCAACTCAGGTGAATGCACTCCTTTTTACCTTCCCTTCATTGCGATCTTTATTGTAGCAACCACACTCAATCCACAACTTTTTCCAATTGCATCCTTCCCACATCCAGTTGTGGTTGTTGATGTATGCCATTTGTTTGATTTGACCTGTTATTTGTTTTTCCGAATGGTAGCGAACGCACGTTTTTCCTCTGCAAGCACACTTGACGCCAATTACGTAATGACAATCGTTATCGTTATGGCAACCATCGTGAGCGAGAGTACATACGAATTCTGGATTTTCTTTCATTGTCTGTTTGTAGTCGAACTTTTGAATTTCAACATTACCACTTTTACCGTAGGGACAGCCATAATCCAAGTATCCACTGTAGTAGTACTGGAGGTTTGTTGCTCGGTGGTAATTCTTAGATCCTGATTCAAAGCGGCTTTGTAATATGCTCCAGATCGTCATGAAAGTATGCTGGACAGGCTTAGGTGCCTCATCAGCTTCATTTATGAGTTTCTTTATCAGTTCAGTCGACGTCTTTCCATTATTCAAAGCGCTATTTGTATCCCTTAGTCCTCCCCTGACAAACCTTGTCTCGCTGACAGTCATAATGATTGCCTGGGATATTTCACTGTTTGTCACATTAGAACAAGCCGAAAGACCAAGCT